TTGCCAAGTCGCTCGCCGACACGATCCGATTGCAAGTCGATCCCTCACATGGTCGACTTTGCAAGTCGAATCCCTCACATCGGTCGACTTGCAGAGTCGAGATCCTTCACATGGTCGACTTGCAGAGTCCCCATCCCACACTTAGTGGATCGACATGGCGGGATCGATTCCCCCAACTTTGATCGACTTTGCAGGGAGCGATCCACATGATCGACGTGGCTGTGTCGATTCCGCACACTGATCGACTTTGCAGAGTCGATGCCGCCCATTTGATGGATTGAAGAGCGCATCCACACTTTGATCGCACTTGAGGGGTCAATCCCCCAATTAATTCGACACTTGCAGAGTCGATCCCCACTCTTGATGCGACTTGTAGAGTCGATCCCCCACTAAGTGATCGGGGGACTTGGCGGGGTCGATCCCAATTAATGACTTGCAAGACGATAACCCATTGCGGACTTGCAGAGTCGATCCAGCACTTGATCGACTTAGAGTCGATCTGCACTTGATCGACTTACAGAGTCGGATCTCACCACCGGACTTAGATGATCCGCAGATCGACTTACAGAAGTCGCATCCCGCCTTGATCGACTATCAGATCGGATCCACGCTTGATTCGACTAGCAGAGTCGATCCCACACGTTGATCGACTACACGACTGATCGATTCGGGTCCAATAACGCTCAGACATAATGATCGCTTGCAGAGTTCCCCACAGATCCGCGAGCGACCTACTGATGCGACTTGCGGAGTGATCCCCACATGATCGACTGACGAGTCGATCCGCACATTATCAGACTTTGGCCCAGAAACGATCCCACACTTGATGACTTGAGAGTCGATTCCTTCTCACATGGATCGACTTGCAGAGTCCATCCAAACTTGATCGACTTGCAGAGTCGATTCCCGCACTTGATGGAGACTTACAGAGTCGATCCTCCACTTGATGACTTGCGGTCAGTCATTCGGACCTTCAGCACTTGTCAGATGATCGACCATTCGCGAGAGTCGATCCCTCCACATGCGACTTGCAGAGTCGATCCCCACTGATCGACTTGAGGGGTCGATCCCAGTTGAATCGACTTGCAGAAGCGTCCGCCACATTGATCGACTTGCAGAGTAGATCTCCACTGTTGACTTGCAGAGTCGATCCATTCACTTGATCGACTTGCGGAGTCGATTCCCCGACTTGATCGACTTGCAGGTCGTCCCGCCACTTGATCACTTGCAGAGAAGATACCCCACTTTATGACTTTGCAGAGTTCGTTCACCCATTGATCAACTTGCTGGTCCGTTCACCACTTTGAATCGACTTGACTTGCTGGGCCGATCATCCACTTGATCGACTTGCTGGGCCGATCATCCACTTGATCGACTTGCTGGGTCGATCCCCCACTTGATCGACTTGCTGGGTCGATCACCTACTTCATTGACTTGCAGAGTCGATCCCTCACTTGATCGACTTGCTGAGTCGATCTCGCACTTGATGCATGATTATCACGGCGTTGGATTCAGGAAGCATGTCGCCATCGCGCTATAAAGACACATTTTTAAATTTGTTCTCAGAAATTTGAGAACTAATTTCAAATTTGCGTTTTTGCCTGATTTTTGGAAGAAGGTCATCGTAGAGTAAATTCTATTTTATGAATGCGTCAAATGCCTTTTTCAGATCGAAAATCGGACCATTGAATCAGACGTTATCAGTAAGTAAATTCCCCTGTGATAGTGCTGCGATCTATTGAATTTTCCTACAAGTATTTTTTGGTGCATTTAGCCTTAAGGACACACCAATCATTTTGGGACAAATATCGAAAACTTTAATGCCAACTTACCCGAAAACGATTATTTCTGATCATCAACATCAATAACTTTTCGATAGTTGACAACTTTAAGCAGAGATAACTTTAAGTAAAGTTTAAAAAATTGTTTGCACATCCTAAGCTGAAAAATATTGTTTCGTAGTCTCTGAACCACTCCCCCTTAGAAACCAAACCATTCTTCTCAAAAACCGTTATTTTTCTGTTTTTATATATAGATAACTATTTATGAAACTAAAACCACAAAAACAATTTGTGAAATGACATTATTTATTTAAAGAAAGAAAAGTCTATTGAGGTATCAATACAGAGTAGAAGAATAACCCATGGTAATCTTTCCGGAAATATAAAAATCTAATATATTTAAAAAATGAACACTTGAACAATATAAAACATAAAACTCAATTCAATGTATATACATAAAGAATAACATGAAATATTTCAATTACATTGAAACTATTTGTGCACATGTAATACACTTGTTTTCTGCAGCAAGAGCAATTTTTTGAGAATTTATAAGTATAATTAATTTGAGAGCCCAAGCATACAAGATGAATTTTTAACATTTTTCAGAACAACCTCCTTACAAATAAAATGGTTTATTAAGACACATATAACATTTGTGATGTCATTTTTAAATTCAGGCATTCAGTTGAAACGTTTGGTCCCACATCTCTTGCACTAAATATTAAGGCACTGTCCTAAAATAAAGGAAGCCACTCTAGATAAAATATAAATTGTGCATGAACAACCCAAATTCCTGTAATTTACTTCGCAATATTATAATTCTAGTTCATTTTTTTGCAAAATGAGCATAAACTCAAAAGGCCAGTAAAAACAATACTTCTCAATATTTGAAATAGCCTAATTCATATTGTCTTGTTGAACCATAAATTTGAAACAATGATTTTTAAAAAATATCTACATAGCAAAATATTTAAATTTCATTGACATTTTTCAGTTTTGTTACTTACATGAAGAAAAACACGACTATCATTAAAAATAACAAGTGTGCAATATAAACTCAAAGAAATAACTGAATACATCCACATTGTAGATATGGAAAAGTAATATCCAGAACATTTAAAAAAAAACAAAAAACAACAACAGAATTCACTTCATATTCTAATGCATACATATTATTTTTAACACCAAAAAACAAAACAAAAATAAATGTTTTTCTATGTTCCCTGCACTATAAAATAATACCTACTTCTACATTATCAAAAATGTTACGAGTGTTAAAAATTATACTACCAAAACCCTGTAAGATACCTCTTCCCACTTATTAAATTCAAAATGATAAAAATTGTTAGTAGAATATTTTTTTTTACTTTTAAGATTAGTTTATTCTTTCTATATGCTTTTTTCAAGAATCATGAATTTGCAGAGGAATATGAAGTACATAAGTAAACAATTTCAATGAAAATAATTGAGATCTTAAGTACTAACTAACTTTTATAAGGCTAGAACTAACAGAAAAAAGAAAAACAATTAATTGTACAATCTTTAAAGGCATTTGGTAGAGAAATATTTCATTACAAGTGGTGGGGAAATTTAGTATAGTAATTGGAGAGAAAATATTCATTGCCTGTTTTCTTCAACCATCAATTAAAATGAAAAACTCAATAAAATGTATTTAAAGAATATTAAATCCATTTAATCAGCAAAAATCCATTTACCCATTCAGTCTTCTGACAGCCATATATCTGATGTGCAATCGCCTCCAGGGTACCTGAGAGTAAGAAAACAAGATAAATGTTCAACTTACTGCACTAACTACTTTAAAAAAAGATTATTAGAATAATAGAAATTGCTTTAATCATAGGGAGTGATAGTTACAGATAATCAGTTTTGAAGTGAAAATACTTATTGTTATTACCATTACCTGATAAGTATAAACAAATAATAAAACATTTTTGAGAATTTCTTATTTTTGTAACTTTTTTAAACTGCAAATATTGAAAGGAATACTGTGCAAAAACCACTAAGAGTTTCAAAAAAGTGTACATTATCTTAATGAAAGAACTATGAATGCACAACAAATTTATATTTATATTCAATTTTCATTTAAACAAAAAATTTTTGATTTTATGGTTGTAGGAAGATGCCAAGAAATTCAAACTTGTGGAATTTTCAAAAATTTGAGTTAACTGTAAAAATCAAACTTTTGCCATCTTTATAACCATATTTTACTCTATTTATACAAGACAAAGAAAAAATTGGGGACTGGTTTGGAAAAAATTTTTAAAATGCTTCATGTAAGTATCCCTAAATTTTAAATAAAGTTTATTAAAATTGCAGTTCTTTGAGTCAAGCCAGATGAGCCGTGGAATATCCATTTCAGAAAAAATAATTTCTATGGATTAGGTGCTAGTGGTGTTCACAGACACTTCTGTTTCAGGGGACTCCAAAACATGTATTTCCATTAAAATTTTGAAATCAATTTCCCACAGCATTACATAACAAATTATAATTGAATAATTATACCAAAGAAATATAATTTAATGAAACAATTGTTAGCTTCCAATTAATCTATTGGTAATCATTTTCAAATAATTGTTGCTATCACTACACGGTTTACACACATCAATTGCTCCTCCTTTTGCTGAATATCTTCCTAATAATGTTAATAACTATAAAACATAGAACTCGCATTACAAGTTTGGAATCCCCCAAATCTTATGAATTTATTACCTTCCTAAGAAAAATTATATTCATTCTTTGTTAAAATTAATATTGAAAGTATAAAGATAAGAAATGGATTCTCATCAAAATGTAAATCTCACCTGATTTCATGAGCAGCCACAGGTCCTTCAGGCTCATCCCCAAAATCAACAAGAAAATTCTCATCAAGGGTCAGACCTCCTTTTTCCGTGTCAACATTTACTATGACCATTGTGCTGCCATGCCTAAATTATTGAATGAGATATCAGATTATGGTCATGGATTACATACACATTTCATAAGAAACATAAGATTATGGATGGAAAAGATACTACACTATATGAACATGGCAGAATATGAGAGTGGGAGAGTGAAATGTACACTCATAACAAACAAGCACACAAAGAGGAATAAGATAAAGTGCTTTTTTCCCAAAGATTAATTTAACATTCTTGCAGAGAAATTGTCAATTTCAATTGTCTAAGAAAACAAGAAGCAAAGTAGTGGGAGAATAAAGAATAAAATCCATGAAATAGCCCCCTACTCCAACTAACTGGGGTCTCAATTTAAAATGAAATTAAATATAGGAAAATCAAAAGTAAACAGAATCAGTAAAAAGAGAAACATTGTAAGGACAATGATGGAGGGAAAATGTAGAGCTTGTCAAGTATTTAAATAACTTGCGTTAGGAAAATTTGATAATGCCAGAGGTGAGTTTATTTATCTGCAAAAACAAAAAGAACATAGATTTTTGAATAGCAATGAATTTATTATCATTATTAATTTAATATTACTAATTTCTAATACAACTATCATGATAAAATGAAAATTTTATTTAAACTCATGAAAATGGAAAACACCTTTTTAACAGTTACAACAAATTAATATGCCACCTGATGCCACTGAGCTTGACTAGTGTTTCCAGATGTATGGTAATTCCCATATGCCAGATAATACATAATATTATTCAACATTCAGGTATATTACAATCTTTAAATTATGAAGACTTAATCAACAATTTTGCTTGTCAGAAAGCAAAAAGAAAACTTTTATAAATAATAATGAGTATGTATCAAATAATTTTGTAAATGATAAATACAGTGAGATCAAATAACTTCTCAAATGTAAAAGTAAACTATTTAATATTAAAATTTTCATTAAATAAGGCAAAATTTTTGAAACATGAAATTGAAATTTTAATTATTGAAATACATTAAATAACTTAAATTTTAAGTTTTACATATTTTCATTGACCATTACAAACTGTATGAATATAAAATTTAACTGGAAGGGAGATGGTAATTGTGTCTTGCCAAGGGCATCTAGTGGGAAACATATGCCCTTACACAGTGAAAAGAATTTGAAATGATAAGAGAATGAAATTTGCCAAATGTTTTGCCTGAAGTATGTACTGTATGGTTGAAACATGCATGAAAAAAGGAAAGAGTTATTCACTGAGAGCTTAAAATGTATAAAGTGAATGGACTGAACAAGTAAAAATGAAGTTCACAGAAGAATAGAAGAAAAAGGGATCTGGTTTGGCTTACTAAAAACCAGGAAGGCCATTTGAGTGGAACATAACAAAAGAATTGCTTACAGATTCTTTAACAAAATATTAAATAATTGGCAACAGAGAAAGATGAAAGATCGGATTAACTGATAATGTGAGAAATGTAAGAAGCTAGAATAAGCTAATGAAAGGAGAAGCACATGATGGAACACAAGATGAAAAAACTCCATTCTAAAGATAGTGTTGGAATAAAGATCTAGAAAGAAAATGTAGATTACAGGTAGTTTACGTTTTGTATTTTATTGATTGAATTATTGTTTCATTTACTGGAACAAAAGATTGTTAAGTGAGTCAAGTGTAAAGTAATATTGAAGAATAGCAAAATTGCCTGAATACCTTTCAATGTTGTCCATAGCAAAATAAGGGAGGCATCATCTTTTAAAATTTGTAATAAATACGTTGTGATGGATTACTTACTTTATCATATCAGGGTAAAACTGTTTGTCCCATGTAGAGAAAAGTGATGTTGATACATAAAGGCGTTTTCCATCTAAACTTAACTGCAACATTTGAGGAGAGCCATACAGTCTTTTACCTTTCAGTATGACAGGTGAAGGTTGCTCCTAAAACAGTTTTGAAATGCTATACTTGTGTAAGAAGTTTGAGAAGACACAATATCACAATTAATAATAAATACCTTCAGTTCAGGATCTTCTAATACTTTCACTGCTCCACCTTTTAACATGCTACCACCCAAAAATATCTGCCCAACCAAACGAGGATTTTTTGTATCCGAAATATCGTATTGGCGTACATCTCCATGAAGCCAACAACTGAAGTACATAAAGCGATCATCCAGAGAGAGTATTATATCTGTTATTAATCCTAAAAATAGAAAATACAAAATTTTAGGAATTTGAGGTATAAAAGTAAATATTAATAATCATATTTAAATATGATATTGATTCAAGAAGTGAATGTGACTTCCATTGGCACAAATTTCCTAAAGCGATAGAATTATAATAATTAAAATGGATCAAAAGGGTACCTTCATGCGACACTATTCTGAGATTGCAATTCAAACAAGTTGAGGATTTAACCATAAGCAGACTAAGTGGCCATATGGTATATCACAGGACTTCCAATTTCACAACAAACAATTTTATTTACAAAAATAAATAACCCTTTATTTGGAAAAGATGTACTCAAGCAATGTTCACCTTCCAGGGCTTTAATGGATTTGAAGTAAAAATTTCTCAATTGATAGTGGTGTACATACATATCAGTTACCTATATCGAGCCACCAATGATATGTTTTACATGTTTTCAAAAATTGAAATATTATTGATTACTAACAATTCCCTTATCTAATGCATTCAGAAACAAAACATTTTCAATTTTAGATTAAAAAATTATTTATGCAATTCAATGAGACAAGAGAGGCTGATTAATTTGGTCATTTTGTACATAGAACAAGAATTTTAAACTTCATTGATACTGCCAAAACAATTTCTGATTTTGCAAGACAAAGTTAAGACAGAAATTCATTAAAATATATTTTTCAAATTAATTTATTAATGTACAAAATTTTGATTTAGTATGAATTTTTTCATTACTTTTCTTTTTTGTTAATATGTTTGCGAGAGTTTTCTTGCAGCGTCTGTTTCTAATTTGAGTTTGAGGGCCCTAAAATGTTTACGCTTGGTGTCTCCATATGTCTTGAGCTACTACTAATTACATATAAGCGAGAAATTAATAAAGTGCTTCAAATGTCATAAAAGTGAGAATTTCTAGACATCAAGTTAAAAAAATCTATTTGGTCACTGTACACAAATCAATTGCACCAGAATAATAGAATATAAATTTCACTTTTGAAAGGTACAGGGATAATAAAAGTTCAACATAATTGAGAGCATTGCTAAGATTTCAGTGATTGGAGGAAGGGGGTGGGGGTGCAAGTAATGTTTCCCCCTTGAAATAAAGTTTTCTCCTTCAAAGATTTATTTTCTTAATATTAGTTTGAGGCCATGTCTACCTGTTTCTGTGGTAAGTGAAGAACCAGCCTAGTGCCATTCTCCCCCTTCCCCCATTCCACACACATCGCTGGGGTGAGTAACTGAGCCCCCCCTCCCCCTCTCAACCAGCTGGATACGGAATCCTTAGGGACAAAAATTGTTGAAATAATTAATTAATGATTCAAATAATGATTTATTTTTTCACTGATTAGTTTGTTTATTTCATGTCAGAATCAGACTAGATAGAAGGGATGATTCTGTATAATCTGTTAATCCATACATATTGTAGTTAGACATGAAAAGAAGCACATATACTTCTACTTCACAAGAAAAATGAGAAATATTAATTTACAAAGACTCTCCAACATCCAACCCCTAACACTCCTCTTGCAGTCAGTGTTTTTTACTGCCTGATCTTTAGCATTTTTAATACTTAGAAACACAAAATATTATGTGCCATTTAATTTGCAGTTAAGGCAAGAAAATTGTGATTATGGCTCATGAGAGCCATTATACAAAAGAAGAATTTGCATATTACCCTACTAAAAATAATTGTTATGCAAAATTTTGTTGAGTGTAAACATGCTATTACTGCCACAAACATACATTGTTTCTTACCTAATGTATATTATTTTACAATCCACTCTCAGATGAAATTAAACTATTTAAATCAATTCACAAATGGCAAGTAAAGTCTTTTCGTCTGTTTAACTAATTCTATACTATTAGTAACTATGCTGACCATCAAAAAGAACTGAAATATTTAGTTTAATAATGATAAAAAGCAAATGTCTTACCATTTACACTGAATTATTTTAAGGTTCCCTTTTTCTTTTTACTTTTGGTAAGGATAGTGCTGAATGTACTGTATAGACAATAGTAATTTTTTTGACATCTCCCTCAAGCCATTAATATTTAGAAGTAACAGTGATTTGTATACATTTTGACATTTATAAGAATGAGTGCTTCAAATGATGTCTCATTAAGTTTTGTAAAAACTCATGTTTTTTGTGAAATTGAGCTTCAAATTCTGTATTTTTAGATATTGGAATTATGGACAGCACACATCCCAGTCTGTTGACACGCAGATCTTTCCCTGATTACAGGAGAAATCTGGTGGATTACAACTTGTGACTCACAACACAGGGTTAGCACACACCAAGCTACACACGTTCTCCTTGACGGTCATGGACACAGTACTGCTCTAGTCAAAGAGAACACAGGAGAGTCAGTGAATTGCTCGGCATTTCAATAGGCACTCTTCTGATGGGGTTGTATCACCCTGTCGTTAACTCCAACATTAGAAATGCTGAAACACTATTTTCTTTAAAACGGCTCCAAATTTTGTATTTAAATTATTTGAACAAAAAGTGCTAAATGGACAGAATAACATGATATAATATAATTTCATGAAGTCTTTTGTTTTTTCAAAAATTACACAATGACAATTTTTTTGAAATATTTCTCAGACCATTATAAATTACATTACCAGCGATTTGTATACATTATTGCATTTATGAGTAGAATTGCTTTAAATAATTTCTTGTGAAGCTTCTCAAAAACACACGTTATTAGTGAAAATTACCTTCGAAATGCATATTTTCAGAAACGTTCAAACAACATTTTCTTAAAAAAGGCTTCAAATTTTTTCAAAGAAAATTACCATACAGGACAAAGCTTTTACTCTTCTATAATATTCCTAAAGACATGTTTCAGTTCTACCATTAGGGGACTGAAAAATCGAGAAAGTGTGAAAAAATGTAGTTTGGGCAGCGATAGATGGCAGATGGGAAGAGCGTGGGGCAAAACTGGAAAGCTAGTCCAGACCAAAGAAACTGTGAAACAAACCAATATGAGAAAGTCTGTACCATTTTGTAGCACTCCTTGTTTATATTGCTACTGATCTGGGGAAAAAAACGTTTTAGCAAAAATGTGGGTATTTGCATTCCAAAATGCAAGGAAAACACAAACAATAAAATTAATGCCATGAAATCTTACCAGGTAAATTTGGCATACTCCAGCCCTCTACCTTCTTAGGAGGTACTGTAATTACTGGATCTGCAGCCCAACTTCCATCCTCCTTGCGGTAGAACCTATTTCAATACACGTACATCCATTATTCCATAAAATACATTAAGCCAAATGAGAACATAAACAGCCTGAGAAACATATAATTATGATGATGGTGACGGTAATGATATTATTCTTATTATTTTATTACAATTTAGACATGACAGACCAGACAACTACTTGAAACCCTGAATATCAGGGGCCAACAAAAATTAAATATGTGTAAAAGAAAAATAATACAAATTGAAACCAGTTATTTTCATGATTTTATAAGACATGGTAAACAAGTCTGGTATTTCATAAAAATTAATTTGATCCATGACATATTTGCTAGTCATTCTTTTTTTTTTGTTTATTCATAATGATTTTTGATAAAGCATAGATATTTTTCCAAATATTTTGTTGATTCTGAATTTCATTTTAGTAAAATAAAATATGAATATACAGGCAGAAAAATAGATAATATAATATATTAATAATTTAAAACAAATTTCAAAAGTACCTTTTATCATATATCAATGTATAAAATTCCATAGGTACATTAGCTAAAATCATTCTAAAAGTATTCTAAATATATGTAGTGAAGTATATTAATTATAATTTTCATTTCTGTTCAACAATTATTGCAAAGGAAGTGCAATAAAGAGTACCTAAAAACAGTAGATGGAAGGGCACATCCAACAAAGCCTTCAGGCTTCTTGGGGTCATGCAAGAAACGTATTTCAAGTGGTGTGACCCCATTTGGGCCAAGATCTATAGTCTGCAGGAGTTCACGAGTAGACCATGACCAAACATTGAGAGAAGATCCATAAATCTCAGGGTTTTGACTGTCAGCTGGATTAAATCCATTTCTGAATGATTTTGGTGCAGCCCATTCAGTAGAGATCATCACATCAAACTTCGGTTGGTACCAGAAATCATATCCAAATTTTGCACTTTTCTTCCCCCATAGCCCTACACAGGACAGCAAAAGTAATTCAAATATTAACAAGCAATATAAAATAAAAGCAAGTATATAGAATCAACAAGTACAATTTCAGCTTAAAATGAGTTGAACAATTTATTCATAACATCTATAAATGATTAAATATACCTAATATTTCTTTTGCGCAACAAAAGTTAATACTTTTCTTATAACATTATGAGAACCATTTAAAAAGAGTAATATAGTTATTTCAGTTGTGAGTGATGCCTTTGAGTGTACATGTTGAAGAATTGAACTCTTGGCCATCATTCCTTGACTTTTCTCAACTGACATAATTATTTACATGCCATAATCCCTTAAAACAGGTATTTCAAGGTTGCAGGCAAGCTAACTAGCTTACAGGAGTTCATGAGCAGTGCATCCAGAAAAAACTGGTGTGAGATTTAAAAACTAGGGTTGTACAAATTGTTCCAAAGTGGCAGTACAACAGTGACATCAGCCTAATGTTTGTAGGAGAAGTCAGTTGACAGTTATTGACCCAAATTTAGCAATATTACTTCCCATTTCCTCCAATAAAGCAAAGACATTTTCCATAAAAATTAATAATACATCAGTGACATTTCAAATTGTCAATTGAGAGTAAAATTAAATATTTTAAATAGAAAGTAATATTAATTTTGCAATCATGTTTATTTCAGAGTGCAATAATTGCCTAAACTTCCTAATTTCGGATTAGAAGATTAAACAGACAAAGATTCTTATCTGTTAAAACAGCTAGCTGCCCGTAGGCTAGAAATGTTAACTTAAAGAGGCTTGTTAATTTATTTCATATTATTGCTTTACACAACAAATAACTGAATGATTTAATAAAACAATACAAAATTAAAACAAGGAAAGAAAAAACAATTGCCATTCAAACATGTTTCTGCCCCCTTAGCAAAAATATTTATACAAGGAAGAATTTAAAAAGAAAATAAACATGAAATAGTCATTAATAGTCAACAATACAGTCATAATTCAAATATTGATTGTTTGAGAGACCAAATATGGCAAACTTATTTTTGTATGAAACCGCTATTCATGGCCTGGAGCCACTTCAACTTGTGCCTGTGCACCCTCTTCTGGATTTGGAGGGGAGTCAAGGGAAGTTGCCCATGCCCATAGGAACACCGGTCATCCCTTCCCAGAGGGGCAAGTTTTGACAAGCTTGCATTAATGTAATGCATTAGGTTGTATACATTTTATGTATTTATTCAGTAAAAGCTTTCAAAATAATCACAAAAAAACAGAAGTCCATTTCTGTTTCACCTACTTTTTTATAGGAAACCTGACTATTGTATGTTGAATTTGAGGCAATAAAAGTCCAACTGCATATTACCAACTTTCCATATGGACTTGCTGGTACTTATTACTTGAAAAACTTATATTTTTCCATTAAAATAGCTTGCATTATTCACTACAGAAAATTGATAGTAGCTACAGTGAACTATCCAAATACAACCACATATTAAAAGACAGAAAATTAAATTTAAATATTATAATAACGCAAATTAATAAACGCAAATAAATAGTATGTTATTTGGAAATTCTTTAATGGAAAATATGCAGAATAATAAGTTATTTGCGGAAAAATTATGTTTATTAAAATTAGAAGGCAAAATATATAAATACAACTTGTACAATAATTCAGTTTGATCAACCATAAATTGGGAGTTTCGTGCACACAGCAAGTGAATATAATTTTTAACTGCAGGAGAAAAATATGCACTTGCATTGAAATCAGGTCCCTAGCCATAATACATTGGTAATAACTAACAACATCTTTGTCATGACTCTAAAGGCTTACACATTTAGAAAATAAAATGCCCCTTCTTAAATATCCAATAAGGTTCATGAGTTTGGTATAAATAATTTTACTATCCTGGATGCATAACAGATAATTTCTTTACAAAAGGAGTGTCTTGATAGGTATACCAAAAATATTTTCAATGTGGTATTTGAGCATTCAGAAGAAATTACCTTTCACTTCTAATGTTTCTGCATCTATTAGAATGAAATTTCCTTTTGCATTTCCATTCTTGTCTCCCAAAGTTGAAATCATAATTTCATTAGAAGACAAACAGTGTGACGTATGTGGTGATGACACATCAAGGTCATGCAAGTTCTTAGGTTCAAGGACCTGAAAAAAGGAGTTTCATAGCAAAATTTTCAACTATAAATTGAATTATTTTGTGCTATAGTATCATTTCTGGCTTATTATTTAACACAATACACAATGGAACCTTAAATTCAGGAATTTTCAGCGTAACCATTGCTGCCAGTTAAAATAAGTTTTTGTAGTTCTGTGCAAGTTATTGAATGTATACATGCCAAAAAGTGTGTATGTACTTTACATGAAAAGGCAGACGAACACTTTTCAACAACTTACTGAACATTTTATTTGGAATAATGCTTCATTGTATACATCAATCAAAAAAAATTATACTTTTTCTCATAATATTAGGAAGGGTATAAAATATTATGAGGCATTAATATTTTTTCTGTTTAAAATATAAATTCATTATCAAATAATATTAATATTTAGTACACTTACTTTGTGAATTTTTGGTGCTCTAGGACTAGATCCCGTATCAATGAAATAAATTCTTCCGCTTCCAAGGGCAGGAAGCACAAGTTTGTTACGAATCTTGCTGTCATCTTTGTAGCAGCTACTACATACGTTCCATCCCGAATGGTGTAATTCATCTCCTACATGCAGCATTGGTAGGCGATGGATGACCTAGTGTAAAGAGTAGCATACAATCATATCCTGTATCCCATCACACACATTATACCATTTAACAATATATGGATTTATGAGTTTGAGACATTTACAGTAAACCCTTGTTAGCAAGAATTCCAAGGTACCAAAATAACTGGTGTTCCTGTGGCAAAAATGGTACCATTCAGAAATTTTAATTGAGTATATTTATTTTAAAGATGCAGAAGCGAATCCTAATTTTTTGGTCATTCTTTTTTCTCCATTCTTTTTCTTTGGAGAAAACTTGTGGGGAAGCAAAAACAACATTAGAGAATGAGGGTGTAAAATAGATTTAATTTACACTCTCATTTACATTATCTACTTTCTCACACACACACACACACACACACACACACACACACACACACACACATTTACAGTGCTGAAGCAGGGTTGCCATGCATCCTGAAAAAATGGGTTAAGTCCTGAATATCAACATGTGTCCCACTGTCCTGCAGATTTTTTTTTGTTTCTGCCAAATGTCCCAAATTTTTATACTCTGTTATAATTCCACATAGTTCTAAAAAAATAAATTAAAAAAAATTAAAACAAACAACAATTCCGATTTGGGACTAATTGAGACTACATCAAAGAACTATGTGTCACATAAAAGAATTCAAGCAGCAAATTCCCTTACTGGTCATCTGGCAACTGACTAGTTTGAGAGTTCATCTTCTTTGACTAAGAAATAATATCTTCAGCAATGAAACTTTAATATATTCAGGGTGATCACTTTGTGAAAAACAGAGAAAAGTAAGGGAATTTCATTGATTTTGGAAGTCAGAGAATTTTTTGAAGAATCGTTGGAAGGCAGGGAAATTTCTGAGACAATAAATAAAACTAAGAATTCTTCCAAATAACTCAGGAAAAGGAGTGAATTATAATTAGAACAGATAAAAAAGACAATATGGTATCCTGGGGTGATAATATAATGAAATTCTTAAAGAAGGAGAGAAATATGCTGAAAATAAACATCTCCTAGAAGGAGATCAGTTCTAAAACAATTTGGATTTACACAGGGATGTTTCAAATTATGCATTAAAAAATCCACACACAACAATCTTTTCATTGGCCTGAGAGATATTTTGTAGAATTTTGTAAAACTCATCTAATTCTCTCTCTGTCCTCTTTTGGAGCATACACCACAATAAAAGTCACAAACCATCTCTTAATTCTACATCTGATTTTTATTTATGGAATCAATTACATTTTATAGAAACTTGTAAATGTTATAAGTATCATCTTTCCATCCTTCTTCCAGAGTTATACACTGATATTATGCTCGTGTATCTTCTGCTTTCCTTGAATCTACATGTGACCCTTGTACTCTTGTTTACCCAACTGTACAATGTAATTCTGCTTTTCTTGTAACTTACAATAATAGCTACTACTGCTATTGCTTTACTTTCTGCTGGTAGACCACTAAATATCATTGTTTAGAACTGAAAGATACTCAATCAAACATGAAATGCAGTAAGAGTGCATGGACATGTCTACATGAAACCATTCAATTTTTGGATAATCAAAACCAGTAAAGAAGGTTTAAGGAAACCAAGTCTACTCTCAAGACTGTACCTCATGACAAAAGGCTAGATTTCCATACAAATGTGCTTTTATTTAACTTCATACAGCTTTTCAACTTCGCAAAGAATGCAACATTAAAGAAGGAAGTGTATTGAAAAAATTGATAAATTACAAATAATATTTCTACCTATTTAGATATAGATATTCTTTCTAAACATTTCTCTTGGGTATCAGAAAGTTTCTTCTATTATTTGCAAGATTATTAACAAGTGTAAATATTTGTATATTTCGTATTAATTTTTTGTTGTTGGATTTCGTTCACAGTAGTTGAGATTGGGAGTGTTCCTTCCCGCTGGATAGCGAGATCCAGCGCCGATCTACACGTGGTCTTGCGGGGGAATTCCCTCCAGATACCTCCTCCAAGAGACAAGCTCAAGCTCCAGACAGGGCTCTTGGGCATAATATCCGACCTTCAGCCAATGAGCTTTAGATACCAGTTTTTACCACGATACTAGAGGGAATTTTAAACGCAGCCAGATACCAAAATTATCACATCGTTACAAGGCACTGAAGTAGATTTATGAAGCATTTCTTTTAAATATTGCATCTTGTACATCTTCATCGCGTTATTTTTGTTGGTGAAAATGGTCACTTTGTACCACTTTCAAAATGTTTCTCAACACGTTTCGCTCTCCATTCAAAATGGCGACCAGCGTCTAATCTGGCTTTACAAACGAAATGCCAGGGCAGTGGTCACATGGTTCGAGACGCAAACTGGTCTTGCGCAAAACGAGCAAAAATCGACACGCCGGAGAAATTCACCCTTGTATTTCCACCATGGCTCACGACATGTGCGATTGTGTAAAGGTTGAATGTATGCGGGGAGAGGAGCGCTCCCACAGGCACAAAAGGAATCGTTTTTTATGGAGGAATGCAGTCCAAGAATCTCTCCTGAGTTGCCAGGTGTCTCTTTCACCTAGATCAACATGTCATAAGACTTTGGGATCCATAGTAGCAAAACAAGTGAATCTTGCACCGGATCTGTAACATTTTACAGACATTTCTAACTTGGAATCGATAAACGTCATTTATGAGTTCCCCATTGTAGATCTGTCGGTCGAGTGCGACTAGTTCGTAACTAATCTCAAATTGGACTCTTCCGTCGACACTGTGAGTCTTTCCACACTCCTAGACGTACAAGGTCACAAAATAACCAGAGTTGCAAACCAATCGATCAGTGGATGGCCTTAGAATATCTAACGGCCTTCTCGCATCAACATCTCGGCAGTCTCACCGTCACAAATCGTGATTTGGAAGAAAGCCCTCGACACACCCACGCAGAGAGTTCGATGCGTAAATCGCGTAGAGAACAACATCGCGCCTGTCTCTAAGGACTTCTTCCAAGCCGTCTTTATAGACGAACGTTCAATAGTCAGACTTTACAGACAGATGCCGAACCAAGACGGCTAAGAATTCTTGCAAGATGTGTAGTTTTAGACAGTGTCGACGGATGGCCTTCAAGATTTCCTCTAAACATTCATTTCCTTATTAGAAAGCTTTTAAATTGGTTTTCTATGTACTTTATCCTTCATTTATTAACTTATTTATTTTTAGTTAGAGGGAACTGACATGTAACGATGTCACTAAGTCTAGTACTTCTACACTAAATTACTACCTGTATAAAACATTTTTTATTTACTGTTAGCACCAAACAAAATATTAAAGTTTTCCACACATGTAACCTAAATATTAAATTTGTAAAACAGAAACAAAAGTTGGCTGAACATCACTAGCAAGGCGCATATAATAATTCAACATTTCTCCTTATAATCATTACATGTTTAGAATATTTCTAAAATAAGTCAGAATTCTACTTCATAACAAAACCAAGATACAAATAATCAACACTCGTTAACTTTTTCAATTTCACTTTCAAGGGAAGATCTAGTTGTACAAGTCTTTGATTTCTCTTCCACTTCGATGCTTGCAAAACCATTTCATGAGCTTATGTCAGTAATTTATATCTTACAACTTAGGAACAAAACACGAAAGAAAAGAACAGAATAAAAAACAAAAAAGGACCGAAAAAGTCAAAGAAGAAAACAGAAATTAGGCCAGTACCTTGCTGTAGTGGGGGCTGGCGGGGTCGACGTCGACGGTGGCGAGGTAGTCCAGTTTGCCCGACGTCTGCGCCTCGAGCTGGATGCAGGGAATGTAGACGATCTTCTCGCGGGGCCCCCTTCGCATGGCGTCCAGAGGAGTCGCGTAGCCCGGTCCACATTGGCATCCTGCAACGGGCGGCCCAATTGCAAAGCGCTTTCCTTGCGGGGTTAGCGTTCAACTAGAGCCTACTTGAACAAATTACTTTCTCAGCACCTGTGCAGGGAAACCAGTTCTTACCTTCACTACTTATTATTGATTGGAAAGAGTTCTTTGGCGGTACACGGACGGCAATAAAATAGACCTTGCCGTACGCGTTCCGCGAAAAACGTCGTGGCCATATATACCAATTGAATCGCTGTACATTAAACAAAACGCTGGAGCGATATGAATAAACGTGGCCTTCACACAAACAACAATCAACAAATATAATGAGCACAAAATAATAAATTTGTAAGTTTCCATGAATTCGTGCTTAAATATATGCCACTCGTACGAAAATGTCTTTGGCATACTAATTTCAAAATGCCGGAATCAGCTTCTACGGTCGCCTCGATCGTCAACATTTCATTCGTTTGCAGACTCACTTTCTGTACAAGTTAGGTCAATAACTATTTTTGTATTTTTACTTCGATTATTAAATTTTAAACAGTACCTTATGTTTTAATGTTCCATTTAAAGAACACAATGTGCACCGATAAAAAACATTATGAAAAATAAGTCCAGAATATGGACAAGCTCAACACTTTCTGTGACTTTACGACAACTTCTAGTTGTCGCCCCAGAACCAGTGTGGTTTCCAATCGAGATACAATTTCATTTTATTTCCTAAAATAACGAAATCTAAGCTCAATTATTTTTTGCTTATAAGTTATATTTGAAGATCGTTGACCAGATTCTCAGAGTTTCACTATTATTCAATTGACCGATCTGACAAGAGGTCTCAACCAAAGTCCAAAACTACCCGAATGCCGGAGCAGTACTCTTCTAAACGAGCCAAGGATCATGCGCGGTCTTACCTTCCCATTCCTTGTCCTATCCTACCCCTCTCTTTCTCTCTCTCTCCCTCTCTCTCTCACACACACACACACTTATATGCACTATACTGCCACACATGCCGGGAGACCGGTTGGGAGCTTAGAATTTGTCCCGGCTGGGGTGTGAGCTTAGAATGTGTCCGCTGGTGGGAGATACCTTCTTGGAGTAAACCCCGGTAGACAGCAGTCGGCGCCGGATCTTGCCATCCTGTGGGGCAAGGCCACCGCCACTTCCCGAGCAAATATTACCATATGAGTGTAATCAACAAGATTGGTGCCATTTTGGGGGAAGTTTTGAAAATGATGTTGAGTCTACATGTAAAATTCAAATATCCGTCCTCCCCCAAACCGAAATATCGCAAATTCGCAGGGTCTCCTGTTTGTTCAGATCGATCACGCAGTTTTAGAGCAAATTGTATGAATGGTTTTTCTACTTGTCTTGCCCACAGACAGAAGTTTTGCCGTCAATCGATTTTTTGGTATTAAGAATGTATATCACACATACTGTAAATTCTGATTACCAACGTGTTAGAAGTAATTTACTACATACAGGAACAAGGTTTGTCCACTTATTCATCACCAGAGTCCGACAATAAGAGTCAGCATCAGAGATCCACCTTTTTCTTTCTATGAAGTGGATGCGAGAAATTTAAAAAAATATGGTTTATGATTCTTGCAAATTACTTTTATATATCATGCAAGGCAATCTTTACAGTTGTTCCTTTAATAAGAAGGGTTAATTTGTGCCCTAAAAGTCAGTCATTACCCTAAAACATTTGAAAATGTAATTCTTATCAAGTGTTATCGCTACGATAGATTATCGTCAAATGCAGCTACAGGTGGGTAACTAAATTACTTAACACGCAAGTGAAACAAGAACAAATCTCCACTGCCTTCTCAGCTAACTTAGAATCTGTTAAAATTAGTACAGTTAGGAAACCAACCAGGACTTAAGGATGTCCGTACCCTAATAAGCCATATATGATTATGTACCTCAAAACCCTCGTAAGACAAAAATATCGAACGAGAGATATTTTTAAAAAATTCTTATTAACACCTCTTTTTCTACTAGAAATAAACATACTACATTTTTATAAACTCAATGTCATACATTATTTGCAGGTTTGGGGGACAGTGACAAGATAAACCGTAGAAAATCTCTCGTTATTCGTAATTGTTAATACGTCGATTTTGGTCTAAGTGCGTTTCAGGTTACTGCCCCACGAACTTTAAAAAAAACAACACAATATACAATAACATAAGACACACCTTCACCACAATCGAGATATTAACATTTACGAATACCGAGTGGCTTGCTATTCCTTGTGCGGCTTAACTTATCACTGCCCCAAACTCTTTGTTTATCAACTCCTTCGAATGAAAAAATTATGAAAAATCCTAAATCCTAAAAAAATGACTTCTTACATACCTCCTTTCAGCAGTTATACAGTCCAATAAGCAAAAGTAAAAGTGGGTGATTTTGCAATTCTTGCATCCTTCTTTTTGCGTATCATTTGGATGGATTTTAGCACAATTTGTGATTGCTGGGGTGTATTTTGCCCATTAGTTGCATCAATGAATACACTGCTTCCGTTAGTCACATCCTGCTAATAATATTAAAGCAACTTACTCCCAAAATGAGCTCCTGATTTTCCTGCAGCCACCAGCTCTCTAATGTTATTTACTTTTACTTTTGCACATTTAACAATTTTTCTTTTAAACTCAGTTTCTGGCTTGCCTTTCTTCTTTTTATCCATAACACACATTTATAGTTTTCTACAACAATTCATTCTCACGCATTCCAACTTACAATAAACAACAGAATGTGGGTATAGCAGTGTTCAATTGTGATATTAAAACCCGCGCTTAGTTATTAAAATCTCCTGGCAAACTGAAATCGGTCGCAAATTGGACTATAACTTATTCACAGGGATATAAATACCTAAATACACTTCACAGCTTTATTTCTCACGAAGTAGATATCATCAGGAGGCCGTGGCGAAACATTTCATGAGTTGCAGAATATCTCTGTTTCTTGTAAAATGTATATCTCAGTTGTGCCGCACAAAAAATAATAATGTATTAATTAGCAGATCTATGCATTGCATTTGATGATAGAAACATATAACTGGGACAATGCAACGTAATTCCTTTTCTAGATTAAGTCGTGTAATAAATGAAATCGGATAAGGTTTTGTTCAATGCCTCCACTTCCTTATTTTGAATTTACATTCAATATTCATGGATATGAATTAGTGAAATATTAGTAGACTAACGAAGCACACATACCAGAATAAATAAAAATATGACAATATGAATGTTAAGTTAAAAACCAGGTTATTGCGAAGTTTTTTGCTAATAACATAAACGCTTGCTAATGTTTTGTTTTCTGACGTCAGAAACGACCAAATTTCATTTGTCAAGCCCCAGATTACAAAATGTTTGTTACACTAGACAGATAATCATATAATATTTTTCCAAGAGAATACGAAGTAAATATATTCCAATTAATATCATACAACTCGAGACATCCAGCTCTTTAATTAGCTATCCTTTTCACACCTACATTACGTTTGAATACATAACATAGTCTGACAAATGGGTAAGTTCTTGTTTTTATCGCAACATTTTTGTTGCGGAATGTTTTATCAGTAGCTTTACCATGCATTGCAGGAACACTCAGGTCTTGGTCTTCATCGATGAACATACAAAACTTATCAAAAATTAGAAAATAATTTAAAATGAGCTGACAATGAATTTAGAGTTGCAATGTAGAACACTAACATTACACAAGTAAAAATGTGTCGGTTTTATTTATTTGATTTGATTTATTTTCGTCAAAAACAGTAGAGTCCTTTGGTCTAAAAACAGTTCCAAGTGTTTTTACTTTCTGACCCTTACTTCGAAAGAAGAGAATTTTGTAATCAAGCGCGACTTTTCACTGAATATCCAATTGAGAACTTCAGGGATACAAAAAACTAATTTTTCTGTCGAAAAATCGGTACTTTTATCTGACTAGTTGCAATGTTTCATATGTAAAAGAAACAAAAAAAATACAAGCAAAAAATCGAAACATGTTGTCTGAAAAAAATTGGCGAAAAACCCGTCGCAATATCTTGAAGCAGTTTCGAAGACTTTGCTGTGGCCAACTTAATAAGTCCACCATGTTTTTTGAATGACCCATTTTATTTTAAAACTCTTTTCCCTCTTTTGCAACTACATTGTTAACAAATTTGTTGTGATAATATAACATGTTAAATCCTGCCTCTTGACGTTAGAGACTGTTGAGCCAACCAAGAGGACAGCTCACATCTCTTAAACTATCCAAAAATTCTGAAAATTGGCAGTCATATTTTTAATAAATTCAAATCGCGTTTAAAAGAAACAAAGAAGCGAGTCAAAGAAATGAGTCAAACAAATTAGGGTCTGAAAGAGATAACGACTGCTTGTAGAATTTAATTTGTCTTCAATAATTCGGCTGCTACTGTCGCTTTCTAATACAAACAAAATACATGCAATATAGAAGCTTATTATTGGAATAAAAGTTTCTTTTGTGACCTAAGATCATTTGAAATTAAACACAAAACAATATAAGAGCGTTTATTTTTCATGAACTCCCTGGTTCGTTTCCTTCTCAGTTTTGAGAACCCAACTCTCTTCCTTTAAACGAACAAGTTTTGTTGAAAAGCAACGAACGAGAAACTGCGAGAAAATGGTTTAAATACATACGGGAAATTTAGTATTACAGATACTGCAATCAAAATATAATTTTCATAAGTCTTTCTTAAAAACTTTTTTTCCTTTAAAAAAAGATTTGTGAGACATCAATTATCTACTAAAGGATATTAAAGTTATATATCACAAGCTATTTTTCTTATCCATTGACCATCCGCTACGATGGCGTACTTGTACTAGCGAAATACTTAATGGTAATAAGTTCACAGTTTCTTCACTCATTCGGTCACGTAGATAATTTTATGGCACGTTAGGCGTAAGGATGCATTGAAAACTGCGTGCGTTACATTGACTGAAGGTCGTTTCTTGTAAATGGCGATGACTCCCGATCCTCACAAGAAACATGGCAGTGCGCT